AGGCCCGTATTATGTTGTTTTCTGTACTATTACCAATGTTACTATACTATACTACACACATGCTTGTGTGTCTGAACAAGTGTCCAATGCAACGGTTGAAAACACAAAAATCATCACACACAACAGTCCCCCCTTCAGATATATATATATATATAGATATATATGCACATATGTCTATGTATGTATGTATTATATATATATATATATAATGTGTGTGTATGTGGACCCGCTCCGGTCGTCGTGGCTCGTAGGTGGTAGGTGTAGACGGTAGGTAGTAGGTAAGTAGTAGGTTGTAGTGGTAGCTGATAGGTGGTGGGTGGTGGACGATACCCGGCAGGTCGTAGCGGCACTACCAGGAGCAGCAGCAGCAGGAGCAGGAGCAAGAGTCACGGTCGTCGTCGTTGTCGTAGTAACAGTCGTGGTAGAAGCAGTCGTCGTCGTCGGCGTCGTCGTCATAGTAGTAGTAGTAGTAGTAGTAGTAGTAGTAGTAGCAGTGGTAGCAGTAGCAGCAGCAGCAGTAGCGGCGGCAGTGGCAGTAGCAGTACCAGTACCAGTAGCTGTGTTGTGTGTTTATGTGTTTATCTCAGCAGTGTCGGTCATATACTCTCATAGTGTGGTTCATAGTGTGCGTTGATTGAAGTTGCCGCAGGCAAGACGACGTCAAGATGAGCGGGTTCTTTCGAACTAAAATTCGCGAATGTAAAATATTTGTTGTTGCTGAAATAGTACTTGGAAAGAGGGTGTGTGATGAAAGCCTTCTAAGTCTTAATACTGCAGGTGGGGAATCTAGGAAATCCAACCTATGGTTATTCAATTCAGGAATCTAGGGGAGATTGAAATTTGGGAATCAATTGGCTGATACAATAGAAAATCTAGTTTATCTGAGCGGTCAGACGGGAATATGAACCGTTATTTTGTATGTCAAGGAGCGAATGTGCGCCTGAAAAGGCGTTGGTAGTTGCTGCAGGTGACCCGACGGGAACTAAACATGCTCAAGTAACGCACAGTGAAAAAGTGTACCTAGTCTTACTCGTCGGGCACTTGGCTAACATTTCCAAGAATGTTCGGCCAGCTTTTAGGTATGGTTTTGTGTGCAAGGTAGTATACAGTTAGAGTAACTTTCCTCTTCGCAAGCTCAAGCTAAAGCGAAGCAGATTTGAGCGGGCTTTCTTCAGTGGTGCTTGGATGCAAGCGAGGCTTCAACGGATGAGATTAGGTTTGGCAGACTGGGGGCTTAAGTCGATTCGACGCCGCTTTCGCAAGGAACATTGCGCTGGTGGAGGCTTACAGGATGTACTTGGCCGCGGATGCTTCTGGCTTAGGGCGCAGCCAGGCTCGTCTCGTTCCGGCTGGGATGAGGTTTGTAGAAACATGCTTGACGAGCCAAAATCCTGAAGCAGTGAATCTCATGGCCTCCGGAACCTGCTCTGAAGGCTTACAGTTCAGGGCCAGGAAACCTCCCAAATACCTGTTGCCTGTTGCCTAGCAGGGCATACTACACCTACACCGGCCCCACCAGAACTGCCAATCAGTAGCGGGCACATAATGTTACGGTATCTACTTTGGTTTGTGAAGTCGTTTCCTGGAAAACGGGATCTTCGGGCATGTCTTCCCAACGCCGTCATTTAGGTATGTGGTATGCATATGTCTAGCAGACCTGCTGACACAAAGTATCGGTTGATTGAAATTAAAAAGCATCTGTACCCTGCAATGGTGTGTTGAAGGGGCGAATGTTAAGCAACTTTGAAGCCATGACTTTCTCGTCCGTGCTGTTGCAAGGTTTAAAGAAGTGTGGGCTGTGATTGCCCCTTTCCGTATCTAAGTGTTTATTTCACAGTCAAAGCGCTTGTGATCTGACGCACACACACACACACATACATACATACGCACACTCACCCTCTTGCTCGCTGGCTCACTCACCCACTCACTCACAGTCACACGCGCGCTCACACACACACACACACTTTGCAGCGGCCGTCAGTTTTGATGGTTTACTGTCCGAGCCTGGCAGAATCAATGCAGCTGCCGCATGCCGCCAGGCAGAACACGTTTCGCATACAGTCCGCATTTCCGGCATCACACAAACAAACAAGAAGTGGCCACACACACACACATGCACGCACCTTAATCAGGTTTGTCCAGGTGAGCAGAGAGATCTTCAATGACATCTTTCGGGTACAGCAGTTCTCGGAGGACGAGGGTGAAACGGAAGCGAAAGGTGGCGGACTAGGGTGGTCACCGATGGTTGCCCATATCGTGGTTACCATTGGTTACGAAGAACCTTGCAAAAAACACCATGACATGTCTACAACCATCGCATTCTCTCAGCATCGGCATCCAATGCATCAGCGTTTTCCCAGATTTGTTGAGAGCAACAGCGAGGACCATCAATGTACAACGATGATGGCAGATGCGTGGTACGTTCCGTATCACGTGCAGGTGTGTCAGCTTCGCACCCTTCGCAGCATGGTTTTTGCTTGCTTTCGACGATGTCATCATCATATGCCATATGTATAGTATGTATACAGGACACACTAACAGATACGCACGCGTGCACACACACACACACACTTAGGTATCCATCTCGCAGCCACTCATCTGTGTCTTGACCAGCCTTGCTGGACGTCTTCCTTGGAAGATCAACTTCCAGGGGTTCCGAAACCAATCGGGGCTCAAGGCTCATCAGTTGTGTTTGGATTTGTTTGAGCCGGTACATGGCATCAAAGCTCCAGAAAATTCACGCAACTTCAAGCAAACGGCTTTGACAACTGCACTGACATTTTGAAATGACTGTGCCTGCCTGACATGTAAAGCCTATTGCAAAGATTGGCCACAAGCTGCAGTATCGAACGCCCATGCCGACCATGGTTTCTGCATGTACACAAGACTGATCAGGTTTTGCCTCCCACTTGCATCCACAGCTTCGTGGAATGTGGTAGGATGCAAGTGCCACACTCCCCTGCTGTTTGTTGACACAAGCAACGAAAGGAAAACTTGCAAACTCTTGGCAACAGAGTTCCACACACACACACACAACACGCACACACACACACACACAGACACACACACACACGCGGACAGAGACACACACACACACACAGACACACACACACACACACAGACACACAAAACACACACACACACACACACACCCGGCCCACACCCACACCCACACCCGCACCCGCCCCGCCCCGCGCGCCCCGCCCGCCACCGTATGCTAGCAGTGGAAGAGTAATCACACATGTTTTTTAAAAAGCCTGCAGGCTATACGACTATGCACATGTGCGCACGCCCGCGATCATGAAAGCCGTACAAAGCCGTCCTGACATCCATGCCTATTTTCGCGAAGGTGGGGCTTGAGGTGCCAGTCGGCACCAATCAGCAAGACCTTTCTGCTGAGACGGCGCTGGAGCCCTTTTCGCATGTGGTGCCTCGGCCAAACCGAACTCTCGAACGGCAGGTTGCCGATGTGTGAATCTTCATGCGCTTGCAGGGATTGATCTGCATGCTGACCACGTTGGCATAACAACTCGTGACCAAAAACCTTCATGCAGATGTAACCCAAGGTTGTTTACACTCGATCCAGCTTGGAGGAGCAGAGCACGCCTGTAGCGCGTTCTAGCTGCAGCAATTGTTGTGGCACGTTGCTCTTTGCTACAACGCTTCTGCATGTTGCACGTGGGTCTGTTGATGTTTGTTTCCCAGGCTTTCGCTCATCGACACGATCGCGCAAGTGTCGGACAGCTTGGGATGCGGTTGCTGAAAAGATCTGGGGCAGCGCATCAGCATAGACTCACGACCCACGACAACTAAGGTGAGTCTGGTCGTCCATCACAATTTATCGGCCGAGGGCTTGTCTCCCTTCCTCACACACAAAGACACTCTCCCTCTCCTTCTCCCTCTCCCTCTCTCCCTCTCTCTCTCTCTCTTTTTGTCTCTCTCGCTCTCTCTCTGTCTGTCTCTCTCTGTCTCTCTCTCTCTCTCTCTCTTTTTCCTCTGTCTCTCTCTGTCTATCTCTCTCTCTCTCTCTTTCTCTTTCTCTTTCTCTTTCTCTTTCTCTTTCTCTTTCTCTTTCTCTCTCTCTCTCTGTCTCTCTCTCTCTCTCTCTCTCTCTTTTCCTCTCTCTCGCTCTCTCTGTCTCTGTCTCCGTCTCTCTCTCTCTCTCTCTCTCTCTTTCTCATCCATTCTTATCCTTGGCCGTAAGCTCCGGACCCTATCTGGAAGAGGACATCCTCTTCCCAGACTTCGACCTGGATGAAACCAATCTCGGGGGCCTGCTGGAGTGGACCGAGCCAGCCGACACCTCACAGGCGAGACACCCAGGGTTCACATTTAGCAATGATGGTGATGATGATGGTGGTGGCGGTGGAGATGAATTTGCATATTAAGTACATGCTTACGATGATGACGATGCTGATGACGTGCTGGTAGTTATGACGAGGCTGATGATGTCACAATCACCACCTTCACCACCAGATAATGCAGCAGCAGCCGCAGAAGCACCTTCTCCACAGCCTGCGACACCATGCGACATTTGGACCATGCAGGGTGCCATGGAGGAGCCGCAGGTGTCTGGCAGACCAGCGCGGGCAGAGCAGCCCACTAGGAGTGAAATCGCCGACGTGTGGAAATCTTAAACTTAAATTGAAACCAATCACAAGACTGGCAGCATTCGGGCTCGAAAAGACTCAGTCGGTTCAGCTTTTCAAGACGGTCTATAATGTTTTAGGCTCTCTGAAAGCGGGAGTCGGGTCTATCAGCATTCGGGGATCGAGGATGTCAAATGTCGACGCCGTTGGGATTCTTAGGCAGGTTTTAAGACTGCTGTAGAAACTAGGCGTGGGATGCGAGCATGAAGTTGTCTTATTGATAGTTTAGGCCTGCTCATGTTTACAACTGGTAGCGCGGTGTGGATCCAGAAGGTGTGGAAATGGTAATGCACAAAGTCCTTTGCTCTTCGCTTTTTCCGAGTTTCAAGGCCAGTACATGCCGAGGCCGCTCACAGACTGTATCCCAGCCGTCTCAATTCATTCGCTGCCCGATATTCGATGGCTAGGGCTGGGGTAATTTTCAATCTCTGTTTGCCAGATAATTAATACTGGCCTGCCAGGTGCGGTACTACGACGTGTACATGGTGGACGTTTTGGAAAATATCTCTACCTGCGCATATCAGCTTAACGAAAGTGACGAAATCTCGAACGGCAACTTTGTGGCAAAGCGGGCTGCGCACTTGCATGGTCATTTCCCCGCTCCTGCACTGAAATGCACCGAACAATTAGACTGAACATCATTAATTTCGATAAGGTCAAGTCTGCACAAGCCTTGAACTTCTTGAACCATGAGCACTGCGGTAAGAGGATAGGTCTTTAACGCAAGCGGAGAGCAAAGGTGGCCTGTGTCCTCGGCTGCACATGGGCACCACCGACGCGAGCGTTGCCAACTTGATCCCAAGCTAACTAAGGCTGACTTCTTGGTTTTGTCAATTGTCGGGGAAATGCATCCGCAAGCAAGCAACTGCACGTCCTTTCTCTCCCTACTCGGCACAAAACAAAACTCTGTAAGCAGGGCTCTTCACGTTTCCTGGTGGCAAAACTTTCCTCTCAAGACAGTGTTGCCAACACATTGCTCAGTGGGGATGCAGTTTTTTGAGGAGCGTGCCCGCCGACACAGACCTTTCCAACTACTCCTACTTTGCCATCTTTGCACGCTCCTCGCTCGTCGAGCAGACAACACCTGCCACCCATCTCATCTTCGCCGCGGGCTCAGCTTCTTTAAGCGATGCTGGATGCCAGGTAGTGCGTGAACCAAGATGTTCACGATCGTCGTGTACTGCAAAGATGACCATGCCACACATGCCACCAATACTAAAGAGGCCAAATGCTTGAATGTGCCCATGCGAGAGGGATCTGACACAAGGTTGGCGGACTCGTGCAAGTAGCTACAACGGGTACTCCATTCGCCTCTCTCTCCATGCGCATGCCTCCGACCCCGCCTCCAACTCGTCCTGAGGACATGGTAGCGAGCGTTTCCGGCATCAGGCCGGATCTGCTTTTTTGATGCTAGGATTTCTTTGCTTTTGGCTGCACCTATGAGTTTAGCACGGCTCTGGCTAGCAAGCGGGAACATGTGCTGTGTTTGGGAGGTTCACAGACCGGGATCTTGACTTGGAGCAGCTGGGTGGAGAGGCCTGGACTGCTTGCTCGACTTCACATGGCGAATGATGAGCAGAGTGGGTATGCATGTCTCTGCCCGGTCTCTATCTGGGTTTGCCTCTACGCACATGCACACCGTACGTCAGCAAGGGGAGAGCTTTTAGCCTTTGGGATTTGCTTTCGGATCTACGGGTATGCAGAGAACCATACTGTGTCGGCTTTGGTTATTGAAGGCTTCTTGGCGTCTCTTCACAGCTTGTGTCAAGACGGCTGCTACACTTGGGTGCAAGTTCCGTGATTTTTGTCCCGGCAGCAAGATCGTTGGTCATGAATGTTGAGTTTTGTGCACGCCTAGGAGCTGGGATTTTGCCCTCCCCAATTTCAATCTCCGCTGAGTCGGTATCACATTCGTATATACAGCCAGGACGTACAAAGCTCCACAAAAGCTTGTCGTAATTATAGTGATTGCCGTGCCTTTTGGGCGCAAGCTCCCCAGTATGATCCAGTCGGCATGTACGACGCGTGTTTGTCTGTGCGCGCACAGAACTTGGTAGTTTGCAGTGTACTCCGTAGAAGACGCTTATAGGTAGGTATGTAAGATATGTATGACTAAAATAGAGAGGATGCTAATTAGCATTGACCCGATCGAAAGACGAGGTGCACTGGACACCGCCGGCCCTGACGCAGCGTGTGGGCACCCCAGATGGTCTCGCCAAGTGGATGAGGGATTCTTCGTTGCAGCTTTTCAAAGATTTTCTAATCGCAACTGCTTCAGCCAAGGCTTACATCCCAAACCATCCTTTCGAGACACCGAACCCTGAATTCCGAGAGTAGCGATCAACGAATACCTAGAGTAAGCGATCAACTCCTGAGGTGAACAGCTACCGGCTTTACCTGGCGAGCGATCCGACAGGTCTTGGCCGATCTCAGATTGCCAAGGATGTTCCAGAAGGGCTCCACCAGGAGCTCGGGCCGGGAGAAGGGCATCTTTCTCCTTGCGGCAGCAAGATTTAAGAGCAGTGGCCCTGCAGGAAGACATTCTTCCAGAAACTACAGCTTATCCGTTCTTGGCAGCTTGGTTGTGTCAAGGCTGTTGGCATCTTGTTGGAGTTTCAATTTGGTTTGGAGCTTGATGAGACTGACCGGCATGTAGGCTCTCTGAGCCCTAGTGACCTAGTGGAATCCCTGCCCGCGACTGGCATTGCATTGAAGACGGAAGCCCGCACCAGCGGGACTGTGAGATGGTCACCGCCGTTCTGCACACTTTTGCATGGCTTGGTGGCTCTCAGGGTTTACCGGATAGCTCCTGGGGTGGAAGCGAAAATGCTGTCGCCAAGGTGATCTACACACGTTCTCTTCTGGCAGAGCAGACAACGCCCGTGTCCTTGCTTCTGGAGGACAAGCATGCACCGGTTCGGGGCTCAGACCGGTCGTCCAGCCTCTGCCGCCTCATGCACCTCCTCCTCCTCCTCCTCCTCTCGTCGTCGCCGTAGAAGTGGAGGTATTACTAGCAGTTGTTGCAGGAGTACTATCGAAGTAGTGGTAGTGGTGGTGGTAGTAGTAGTAGGAGGGCCCAACATGCTGTACAGCGCGGCAAATTGTAGCGCCCCAGCACCCGCATGGGTGCGTCGGCCGGCTGCGGTCATGCACAAGCTGGGCATTCAGGTTTAGCCCTCACCCGATGTGATGGGCTCGGAGGACAGGCTGTGCAAGGTGGCCAAGTTGAACTTGGAGCCAACGCTTGCATACAGCACGGTAGAGGAGGAGTTTGTGACTGGCTTCAAGACAGTCCCTAATTAGCTTTCCAGGCGAACGTCATCAGGCAGAACAGAGGCTCGTCAGGCGAGGCCGTCTGGATCATCGACTTGAGCGCTGGCAACCGTATCCGACGTGATAGCACTGATGGGCCCACAGGGCGCGGTTTGCAAGGTGGCCACGTTGAGCATGTGTTCGCAGGAGCTGATTCGACCCATCACATCCAACTACCAGGCAGCCTGCATTTGGCTATAGGCAGCCTGCATTTGGCTATGGTTTCAACCGGAGACTGGAGGGCATTCAACCACCCAGCAGCCTGCAGAGCTTGATGTGCGGCAACCTTTACGCAAGAGGTTGGACAACATCCAACTACCCAGCAGCCTGCTGAGTATGAAGTTTGGCTATGCATTCAACCGGTGCGTGGGGGGCAGCCAACTACTCTGTAGCCTGCAGAGTTTGTTCTTTGGCTACGAGTTCAACCAGGGCCCGAAGGGAACCCTACTGCCGTCAGCAGCCTGCTGAGTTTGGTGCTTGGCTATGCCTTCGACCAGAGCCTGGAAGGCATCCAACTACCCAGCAGCCTTCAACAGATGCTTGGGGGGTAAACCACCCAGCAGCCTGCAGAGTCTCATGTTTGGATTCAGCCTCGCACATCCAACTACCCAGCAGCCTGAACAGTTTGACGTTTGCTCGCCATTTCAACCAGCGCTTGGGGGTATTCAACCGCCCAGCGGCCTGCAGAGTTTGATGTTTGATTATGCGTCTAACCGGCCTAGAGGGCAGCCGGCTACCCAGCAGCCTGCAGAGCTTGACGTGCGGCAACCCTTTACGCAAGAGGTTGGACAACATCCAACTACCCAGCAGCCTGCTGAGTATGTTGTTTGGCTATGCATTCAACCGGTGCGTGGGGGGCAGCCAACTACTCTGTAGCCTGCAGGGTTTACTGCTATTACTACTACTACTACTACTACTCCTCCTCCTCCTTCTTCTGCTACCACTGCTCCACCGCCACCACCACCACCACCACTTCCACTACCA